CTATTTGATATTCTTTTCTTTTGTTCCTTTAGTTAAGAGTTGTATTAGGCTTTTGGGGTGTGATTTAGGATTAAGAGGTTGAGAGGTTTCACTTTGTATTCCTCATAATTAGTAAAGCTTTTCTCCTCCTTCGCCCGTGGACGTAGGCTACAAGCCGAACCACGTATATCTTTGTGTTCGTGTGTTCTTAAAAATTTTCATGCTCTCGTGTGATTGATATTAGCTTATCCTAGGAAATTTGTCATAACAAATTGGTATTAGAGCCCTCAACTATCGATTGAACGAGAAGATGATAACAGCTACTACGAAATGGGATATCGAGAAGTTTGACGGCAACATCAGTTTTAACATTTGGTAAGTTAGGATAATCGGGGCAAGTTAGGATGATCGCTGTGTTGACACGGAGTGGATTGAAGATGGCTTTGTTCGGAAAGTCGAAAAAACCAACTATTATGGCGGAGGAAGATTGGATCGAGTTGGATGATAGAGGTCTCATAGTGATCCAGTTATGTTTGACAAACAAAATTTGCAAGAAGTTCTCACGATGAAAACATTCGCTGATTTGTGGTCTAAATTGGAGGATTAGTATTTGACGAAATCGCTCACTAATCGCCTCCTCTTGAAGCAACGTTTGTACACACTTCAGATGTCGGAAGGAACACCCATCAAATATCATATTGGTGAATTTAATTCTGTGATTACAGATTTGAGTAAGATTGATGTTAAGATCGATGATGAAGATCAAGCCCTATTATTATTGTGTTCTTTTTACAGATTTGAGTAAGATTGATGTTAAGATCGATGATGAAGATCAAGCCCTATTATTATTGTGTTCTTTGTCGCCTTCCTACAAGCACTTCAGAGATACTATGATTTGCGGTCGAGATTCTATTGGTATCAAGGATGTCAAAGAGAACTTATTGAATAAGGATAAGGTCGACAAAGAGTTAACCACAAGTGAAAGTGGCGATAAAGCTGATGGCTTGTTTGTTCGAGGAAGATCGAAAGAAAGGGGCTTTGGAGGTAACAACTATAAGTCAAAGCATATGAATCTGACCTACTGATATTGTCAGAAGAAAGGGCACATCAAGACCGATTGTTACAGATTGAAGGACAAAAATAAACAAGAAGAGTATGAAGAAAAATCAAAGGAGGACTTCGCTAAAGTTGATATTGCTGAAGATGTGATTTTGTTGGCTACAAATGATATAAACAGGAACATGGATGATTGGATTTTGGATTCAGGTTATTCCTATCATATGTGTCCTAATCAGGACTGGTTCACCACTTATGAAGCTATTGCTGGTGGAGTTGTTCTTATGGGGAACAACGCCTCATACAAGACTGTTGGGATTTTGACAAATTCAGATTTAAGATGTATGATGGAGTCATCAGGATTTTGACAAATGTTAGGCATGTTACAGGTTTAAGGAAGAATCTCATCTCTTTAGGCACTCTTGATAGCATTGGGTGCAATTTTTTAGGTGAAGATGGAGTTCTTAGGGTTACAAAAGGCTCTCTTGTGGTTATGAAAGGAAAAAAGATCGGCAGCTTGTATATTTTACATGGTTCTACAGTTAATGGTTCGGCTACAGTTGTATCACCGATGTCAGGAGTTGATACTACTAGATTATGGCATATGAGACTTGGTCATATGAGTGAGCATGGATTAACCGAGTTGAGTAAGAAGGGTCTTTTATGTGGATAGAGTACAAGAAAATTAGGATTCTGTGAGCATTACATTTTTAGAAAGCAGAGAAAAGTCACATTCAATACTGTAGTGCATCAGACTGAAGGTACTTTGGATTATATCTATTCAGATCTTTGGGGACCTTCCCAAGTTGCCTCGAGGGGTGGTAGTTTTATATTTTTGTTGACCTTCATTGATGACTACTTCAGGAAGGTTTCGGTCTATTTTTGAGACATAAATTTGAGGTGTTTGTGACTTTCAAGCAGTGAAAATCTTTGATTGGGAAGTAGACTGGGAGGCTGATTAAGAGGCTTAGAACTAATAATGGCCTTGAGTTTTATGGAGAAAAATTAAATGAGTTCTGTAAGAAGGAGGGAATCGTTAGACATCATACATCCCCTCGCATGCTGCAACAGAATAGAGTGGCAGAACGTATGAACAGAACCTTATTAGAGAAAGCTTGTTGCATGATGTTCAATGCAGGTTTAGGCAAGAAATACCGGGCTGAAGCAGTGAATACGGCTTATTACTTAGTGAATCGATCGCCATCTATTGCTATTAGTTGTAAAACTCTAGAGGAGGTTTGGTCCGATAAGCCTGCCGATTATTCTAATCTTAGAATTTTTGGTTGTTCTGCATATGCACATGTTAGTCAAGGGAAACTTGAGCCGTGAGCGAAGAAGTGCATATTCCTAGGTTATGCATCAGGTGTTAAGGGTTTTAGGCTGTGGTGTCCTGATCCGAAGTATCCTACGATTATTATTAGTCGTGATTTTACTTTTGATGAATATGCTATGTTCCACCAAAAATAGTCATCGGTTTCAGTTGATGATAATGCGCGCACTAAGGACATAAGGTAGAGTTAGAAATTCGTGATTCAGCTCTTCAGTAAGATAAGACTGCGGGAGTTCAATAGTCAGATCCCGTTCAAGTAGATGAAGTATCTCAGCAGTTGCAAGAAGAGCGGGAATACACTATTGCTAGAGATCGGTCTAGACGAGATATTCGACCACCGCGAAGTTATGAAGATACAGTAGCTTATGCATTGTCAGTTGACAATTTTGTGCCCTTTAGCTATTCAGGTGCTACTTCAAGTGATCACTTCGTTAATATTTACGGTCGTCGTGCAGACAATTCAGTCAATTTGTTGAGGAGACCTCTTTCAGTTAGCAAGTTCAAGCAGGGCTTGGACTTGATCGATACGTGCCGCACTTAGATGCCATGCGGGACTATTGGAGAAGGTGGAGTAAGTTAACTTATTTTGAAGTGATGTATCTTCAACGCATTTGAGTCAATGTTGATATTTGTTATAGGTTGCCTTAAATACTCAAATCCATATTTCTTTGGGAGTTCCTTTTATGACTTGGTTTATTTTGATCAAAAGTCCTACTTACATTAGACTTTGCACCACTAATCATATTAGAGGTTTATTCGTACTTGGACTCTTGTTTGGTTTTAGGACATGTAGACTTCTATTCCTATTAGAACTCTTATTCCTTAGACAACAAGGAGTTGAGATCTTTAAAACTATATAAGAACAGTCTTTTAAGCTAATAATTAATTATTAATCTTTAGAGCATCAATTAAGAAGAGAGTTTTTTTGTGAAGCATGTTTGATATTCTTCTCTTTTGTTCCTTTTGTTGAGAGTTGTATTAGGCTTTTGGGGTGTGATTTAGGATTGAGAGACTGAGAGATTCCACTTTGTATTCCTCACAATTAGTAAAGCTTTTCTCCTCATTCGCCTGTGGACGTAGGCTACAAGCTGAACCACGTATATATTTATGTTCGTGTGTTCTTGATATTTTTCGTGCTGTCGTGTGATTGATATTAGCTTACCCTAGGGATTTTGTCATAATAAAAATATCCCCTGAATTTCTGATCACCACTCCACAGCTTGCAATTCTATCTCTTCATCGTTCAACACCACATCATTATTAATCTTCGCAAGATTCAACGGAGGGGATCGCCATTTCATAGTTGTTATTGCAGGAGTTATATTTGTAGCACATATTTTATTTGCCTCTTCAAAAACTCGTTGCACCTCCGCCGCCGTTATAACAAATTTTTCGGCCATACCTCATCAAGGCGTCCTTAATTCACTGTAGTCATATTCCTAGCACGCCAGATTGGCTAAGGTACGGTGAAAACTGTTTCTCCCAACCAAATGTGTTTTTTTTTAAGAGGATATACGGGGAGCCGGGATGAGATCATGGACCCACTTTTTTCACCAATTAAATTGCTTCTGCACACGAATGACTGCGGGCTGATGTCTACAGATGATGAAGATTCCCTGGCTACCCGTTAAAAGGGAAATGATATTTATTTATTTATGCCCGAGACAAGCAGCTAGGTGAGCCATTGACTTAATCCAGCTTGATCCTATCTGTGCATGGGTAAGCACCAACATATTAACGCACCCCTTTTAGAATCCGTCACAAATGGATCTAAAAAAGGAGTTTTTGCTTTCTCTACGAATACATTATAAAGTGCAATCCAACCTAAACTTACTTGCTTTTCAAGCTTCCTCCATCATTAGCTTCATCAAATAGTCATATGGTATAAGACAAAAACCTTAAGAACTATTCTGAACCGTAAAGAAGACGTTAAATCTAATCAAATTTATAAATCTCTGAACTATCATCGGCTTCCTTTTTGAATGACTCAGACCACTCCATTCATATGCAAAATGTTCTGATAAAATTTATAAAATAAAGTTTATACTCACCTTCAAGAGATTGCTGAATTTATCTGATCAAACTTTCATTTTCAGTCCACAAACAGAAAAAATTAGATTAGTTATTAAAAAGGACATTAAGATGTTTGGTAATTGGATGTAAATAGAATTGTGAGAGTAAATGCACTAACCAAATTCATAAATATATCGTTTCATTATCAACTTTGTAATTATAAAAGATAAATGAACTTTTTAAAGAAAAAACTCACAACAAAGGCTACACCCAATTTGATAAGAGGAGAAGCTGCTCACTTTAAAAAGATAAAAAAAATTCCACCTGATCAAAAAAAAATCTGTTTGAATCCGAATAAAAAGCGATCTACACCCACATTTTCTTATATAACAAAATTATACAGCTTTTGCACTAATTGTTTTCCAACCAAGCACCGAATTTGTATTTGCAAATAAATTTCTTATTACATTATAATTGTAAGCATCCAAAAAACGAGTTTGCAAATGTCACACGTAACATTTGTTAATTACCGCAACATTAGCTGCAACTTGCAGCTTATTTTCTCAGCAAACCGGGCATAAACGCATAAAATAAAAGAAGAATAAATATGTTTTTATGCCATGTGTCTGCAATCTAGTGGATTCCATGGCTGGTTATATGTTACCTACCAAGTTGCTCTCCTCTTCTCATGTCCACAAACTTTGATGCTCATGGGTAAATTTTCAGCAGCCTCAGCAGGGGAAGAAGGAGGAGGACCTGCATCTGTTCATATTTATATTCATCCACACGCTTTTTGAGACGAGCAAAACTGAACAGATCCCAAACAAGAGAAGCGCTCACTCTTTCTCTCTCTCTCTCTCTATCTCAAGCAAATAATGAGGCCAAGATCAAGGCGGCAGAAAGAGGTGCGTAAGCCCAACTCAAAAATAAACTCTTTGGCAATGAATAGCAGAAGAAATTTCATCTTTTGTTTTATTTTGTCTTCTTTTTGTTTTTGTTTTCGGATTATATTGCAACGGGAAAAATAAGCTGCAGACGTATTGGGCTGAACTGTGTTGTTTGGGTTGCACGTGTCTGCAGCTCTGGACCAAGGTTGTGATCCGCAAATGGCTCAATATCAGCACCAAAGACTCTGATTTTAGTGCTGATGAAGGGGATACCACCGAGAGCGAGTACGAATTTGAAGGTTTGATTCCAAAGATATTATGTTTTTTGAATTTAATTGATGGGTTTTTTCTTCTCTTATAAGTTCGATTTGTTTGTTTTCAGTACTTTTATTGGCTTTTTTTAATTGGATTTGTGTGCAATTCTGCTAATGGGGATATTGATGGCTAATGAAATTATTGTATTTTTCTGTTAAACTTTTAGCAGAGATGTGCCGATGGGAGAGGCAATTGTGTGAGGAAGAGAGGAGATTGGAAGGGCTTGGGGCTGAATCATATGGTAAGTTCTTAAAGGCACTTGTTTTTTTTTTCCATCGTGATTGAAATTATTGGGTTGCTTGTAAATCCAATTGATGTCTGAAATTTATTATGGTGAGTACAAAGTTTAGGTTTTGCATTGCAATACGAGTAAACATAGCACTAGACCTCATTGGTGTGAACTTGAAGTAGAATCAATTTAAAGTTGAGATGAATTGCATTTGAATATCCCATCAAAAGGTCTTTTTTTAATAGTATCTTGATTAAAATCAGGTATTTTATGGTTGAATTTATGTAAGTGGTATTATTTGCTAAACTCTCTTCAGAGTTTATTCTCAAATGAGAGAAAAAAAGGGAATTAGAGAACTCTGAGCAAAATATCTTTGAGGGTATAAGAAATTCTTCTGATACGTTGATATTTATCTTATTAATGATAAAATTCAATGTATAATATTGCTATATAACAACTTTAGTGCCTTCTCTTATAGGTAATCCTGCAGACATTCCATATGGATGTAGAAGACGAAAGTCGGAGACCCTTCGTGCACATTATATCGATACCAAAGAACTAAGGCAAGCCTACACTCCTCTCTTGGGGCTTTCCCTATAATTGTAACTCTGTTTTCTATTTTTATTTTATTTTCTCTTGAGATTGGAGGAGGTGGGTATGACCATAAATCTTTGAAATGAATACCAAGAATCATTGATTGTGTTTTTAGTGATATGCAATATCTCACTTTCTAGGATATTTGATGCCCTTCGCTCTCTTGGCATTCCCTTTTTTCTCTCTCTCTCTCTCTCTCTCTCTCTCTCTTTTCTGCTCTTTTCTGCCACATTTAAAATATCAGCCTAGTTTTGTTTTGTTGCCTAATATGCAGAATATGATCTGTACAGGATTTGTGCAGGGACATGGAATGTTGGAGGAAAGCTTCCACCTGATGACCTTGACATAGAAGATTGGCTGGATTTGGAGGAGCCTGCTGATATCTATGTTCTCGGGTAAATCAATTTACAAAAAAGTATATTATTTTTATCTGTCATAGAACGAATAGCTAAATATAAGAGGGAATTATCTCCATGAGTATAAGGGCTTGAAGATGGAAATGAAACTCTTTAGAAAATGTTGAGTTCATAGCTGAAACATAATTGCTATCACTGCTGGCGAAACTGAGTACTCAAACTTGACAATTGTTTGAAATTTTGTGTAGTCATTAAAAAAATGCAAACCTGAGTATAATTCTTGAATCATTCAGACACCTGAAGAAGGCGCTTGTGGTGGCCAGTTTTCTCAAGATCAAAGATTTTTCATCCCTAGTAACTTGATACTTGTTTTAAAATTTCATCCTCTGGTTATTAGCTTCTATTTCTGTTGTTCTCGCGTGCTATTTCTTTGCAATATAGATTTTCATGAAGTTGAGGAACACCTTTTTTGCAGTCTTCAAGAAATCGTTCCCCTTAATGCTGGGAACATCTTTGGTGCTGAGGATAACCGCCCAGTTCCAAGATGGGAAAATCTCATTCGCCGAACACTGAACAAAGTCCAACCATCTAAAACTAAGTATAAATGTTACAGTGATCCTCCTTCACCATCAAGATTCAAGCCAGCAGATGATGCTCCAATACTTGAAGACGAACTATCAGCTGGCAGCGATAGTGGCAGCGATGAGGAACTACATCCAGTAGATGATGATGAATCCTTTAGTTTCCAAGTAAATGATCAGCACGATATTGCAAGTGGAGATGAATTCAAGACTTTTGATCGATCTCAGATAAGTTTTAAGCATCATGAAGTAAAATCAGAAGCATCAATTCCGCAATTAAATATATTATCCAAGACACTTAGCAGCTCAGAAAGAATTGGGATGATTTGGCCGGAACAACAATTGGACAAATCGTTGGATAATTCAAGGCAATTTAGTTCAGTTAAGTCTTTTAGACGTTTCAATTCGTTCAAGTCTCTACAGGAGTATAAAGATTCTACAGGGCCTGAACTGATTTCTGAGCTTAAGCTCGATGATTTTCTGAAACTGAAAACAAGAAAATCACCTTTTGTGAGGATAATAAGTAAGCAAATGGTTGGGATATATCTTTCGATATGGGTACGCAGAAGTCTTCGGAGGCATATTATGAATTTGAAGGTGTCAACAGTTGGTGTAGGTCTCATGGGATATATTGGTAACAAGGTAAAGGTTATTTCACAACTTAAATGCTTCTCTTAATGCTTCGATAGTTTTTCTTCCAAAAATTATACATAAATTATACGGTTATGAGTTGTAAATAGATTTTCCCTTTCTTTCTTTCTTCTATTACATTTTGATGCAAGCAATCAAAGATCATGTAAATGCATGTTAGGGGAAAGAACAAAATTTGAACACAAATTGGCTTTACAAATCTTCAATTGTATGCCTTTACTGGATTATGATGATGTTCAGCACCATTTACGCAAAATCTTTAAAGAATTCTGTGATAATGAAGAACATACATTGACAACTTTTACATGTGTTCCAGGGATCGATATCAGTCAGCATGTCTATATATCAAACACTATTTTGCTTTGTATGCTGTCACCTGACTTCAGGAGAAAAAGATGGTGATGAACTTCGAAGAAATGCTGATGTGCAAGAAATTCACCGGAGAACACAATTTAGTTCAGTTTCCAAAATTGGCTTGCCGAAAAGTATATATGACCATGAGTAAGTCAACATCTTTTCTTTGTCACCCCCCCCCCCCCCCCCAAAAAAATTTCCTTTTAAGTTTCAATTATGTTCATTCTTTGCCCAAAACATTTTCCTTTAACATGATTCTAATGTTCTAAAAGTTTGTTTGGATACTTCAACCTGAAATTACAACATATATAACTATAAAACTTTGGCACTGTTGTAGTTGAGAATCATAGAATTGTGAATCTAGTTAATTCTCTTTGGTTATTTGTATTCAGATGTTCGCCAATAATTTATTGATGTTGTTTGGTTTGACATAGTTGCAAATTCAAGTGCTTCACTTCACATCACATAATAGATGCATTAGAAAACTTGCAGTTGTATTTACACATCTTGTGTGAGTCAATCCATCCAACTTTAAAATGAACTTACATTTTTTAAATGGAAGGGCAGAGATAAATCCAACCAAATTTAGATCTTCTGTTTCATTTAGCATCTCATATAAAATTATTTCAGTGCATTTCAGAAGATGCATGTAAATGAAACAGGACTCAGTTTAAACATTCATGAGATGTGATATTATAACAATACTAGCCTATTAAAAATTCAATAATGAGATTATGTTTTGCCTCGGTGCCGATTTCTGATTCTGATGGTACCTACTAGGTTGCTATCCCCTATAGGTTTTTGTTTAATTGGTGCTTCTCTTCAATTTTTGATACCAGCTAACTCGTTTAAACTTCATGCGTCCTATTAGAAAAAATCCTAAAGTGGGTGCATGAAAGAGGCAGATGCTTCTTCCACTCTCTTCCCATTGGCCTAAAAAATTAAATAAATTATGACTTTGTAGAAGGTGTGCATCCTTGGTATATACATCAAAATTTAAGATAATGATGTGTCCATAAATTGAGATTTCTTCAATGGCAACACCTGCGAATCACACCAATGTATAATGCTAAACAAAAGTCTGTTAAAAATTATAAATTAAATTGCTTTATAATTTCTAAAAATAGTTTTGTTTTGCTGTGAAAATGTTCTTAACGACACAAGCAGAGAACCCTGTTTGAAAGACCTTTTACTCTGTCATATGTATCTATATCGGTTGACCATAGGTCTTTACAAGCCGTTATTCAGTATCATCTCGTCCTTTCACTTATATTAGCAGTCTCATCTTCTCATTTATGTGCCCTTTGTTATATGGATCTGGCACTCCTTCCTCCATGCCCTTTTAATTTCCCCAAGGTTTTAACCATCACCATTATTTCTTCATCTTTTTCAGGAGGATAATTTGGTTGGGAGATCTAAATTACCGTATCAACTTATCATATGATAAGACGCTTGACCTCATCTCAAGAAAGGAATGGCCTAAGCTAAGCGAGAAGGATCAGGTAATTTCTCTTGTTTGAATAATTGCTCGTTCATGTGACAGTATTTCTTGTTTATGACATCTGAATTTTTATCATAATAGTTTACTTTCTACTTTTGCGGGAGGATACTCAGTTAGACCGAACCTGATTGTTTTGTGAGCATATAGTGTCTTCTTTATTGAAGGAATATTAACCAAACATATGAACTTAGAATGAAAATGCATACATAAATCAGATGTTGCATGATACATGCACATGCCTCAACTTGGTATATGATTTATTTTCCAGTGATTGCTATTTGACCTTTATCAAAAATTTATTGGACAATATTTACTAATATTATGCACATGTCATTCTGTCAGTTGAAGTTGGAATTAAGGAAAGGCCGGGCTTTTGATGGATGGTCAGAGGGATTAATTTACTTTCCTCCTACCTATAAATACGAATTCAACTCTAACAAGTATATAGGGGAGGATCCAAAGGCTGGGAGGAGAACCCCTGCATGGTATGAGCTTTAAAAAAGTGACTACAATTTATCTGGTTGGAACTTTGTAGTACACATTTTAGTATACGGTTTACAATTATTTTATGCGATGCTTTGCAGGTGTGACCGAATTCTTTCATATGGGAAGGGCATAAGGCTATTGAAATATAGACGGAGTGAGCTGAAGCTTTCGGATCATCGCCCTGTGACTGCAACTTTTACAGCTGACGTTGAGATCTTTTGCCAAAGAAAGCTCCAGAGAGCGCTCGCATTCACAGATGCAGAGATTGAAGAGGATATTATATCCGAGATAGAAACTGAGGACGATTCCTGAGACTAGGAGAGGTGAGAGGCTTTTGCTTGCTCATCGTGACATTTGTGCATAATTTAACTTCAACAATCTTGATTTATGTAATTTTTTTTGGACATTCAGGATATTGCAGAATGGGAGCACTAAAATGAAATAGTTCTGATAAGGCGTCTCTTGAATTTCAGTGATGGTTTCGAGGCTTAGATGTTCGATTAAGGAGCATGGAGTTGGTGAAGAGTTTTGATGTTAGAATGACTGCTGGTTGTGAAGCTCATAGGTTGTATAGACTTTTGTACCATGAGAAGTTCAATTTCGTCCGCTCACTGTAAGATACCCTGTGATTTTCATCCAAATTTTGCGTAGAAGCAGGCATTGTTCCAAATGTGTAAAGTTATGACATTATGGGTGCAGACACTAATAATTAATTGAAGGCAAATATTTTTTGGTTGATAAAATTACAAGAGAACACCCTGCTTTTTAGTTATTCCCGATCTCTTTCGCTGCATTCTAACATGTTGATCTATAACTGTGGTTGAACTCCATTGCAAGCAGTAGAAGAAATTGCAAAGGAGCCCCTGGTGACGAGTGAGGATTCTATCAGAACTCTGTACGGTGCAGGATTCTTTGTGCTAAGCAGGGGCAGGGGAAATGACCAAACTGCCTGTCCCAAAAGGGTCTATACCGTCGCAGGGTACCATTCTATCACTGGACCACTGGTGCTCGTGTGCATATTATGAAAAAACAGCGAAGAAGAACAGGAAATTTGAAGTGCACATGATTGGTTACGGGTCGGTCGACCAACAACATAGGCCTGGTCGACCGACAGACTGTGGAAATACATGGTCAGCAACTCTGTCTCTGGTCGGTCGACCGAATGCTTATGACCGGTCGACCGAAAAGGTGCACAATTACAGGGCTGATTTCCAGCTCTCTAGTCGGTCGACCGCATGCTTGTGCCCGGTCGACCGCAATGCAGTTATGGGCCCAGTTGGTTTTGGTTTGTGTTTTGATATAAATTAAAACACGATTTTAGGGTTTCTTAATCAGAGAAAGAAGAGACATTTGAGCACTTTGAGAGGGAGATATTGTGAGGGAGTTGAGAGCATATTATGAAAAAACAGCGAAGAAGAACATGGAATTTGAAGTGCACATGATTGGCTATGGGTCGGTCGACCGACGGCATAGGCCCGGTCGACCGACAGAGTATGAAAATACAGGACCAACTACCCTGTCTCTGGTTGGTCGACCGAACGCTTATGATCGGTCGACCGAAAAGGTGCATAGTTACAGGGTTGATTTTCAGCTCTCTGGCCAGTCGACCGCACGCTTGTGCCTGGTCGACCGCGATGCGGTTATGGGCCCAGTTCGGTTTTCCTAGTTGGTTTTGATTTGTGTTTTAATATAAATTGAAACATGATTTTAGGGTTTCTTAATCAGAGAAAGCAGAGAATTTTGAGCACTTTGAGAGGAACATATTGTGAGGGAGTTGAGAGCTTTGGTTAGAGTTATATTTGAACGATTTTGTGAGTTGTAACCCGTTGTATTTCTCCTCCATATAGTAAAATCTCCTCATCCTCTCCCCGTGGACGTAAGCAATTGCCAAACCACGTAAATCTCCGTGTTTGGTTTGATTTGTGTCATATTTGGTGGATTGCACTTGTGATTTGATTTGGTTTTCTTCTCTCGTGTCTTATCGACTTGTTTGGTGTGCGAGCACGCTTCCGCAAGGCGCGCAACAATTGGTATCAGAGCTCAAAATTTGAGATCTAGGGTTTTGGCATTGAGTGGAGGAAGATTCATTGTGAAAGCTTGGTTCTTGGAGTTTTAGGCTTCGGTGGAGATAACTTGTGGAGTTGCCGTTGGAGATCTCGCTTTCCTCGTGCGGTTAGGAGATCGTGTTGGAATCGTATTTAGGGTTAAGTTGGGTAATTTCTTAATTTCTATCAAAGTTTGAATATTTCTTTACAATTTGGAGTGGTTTGCAATGGAAGAATAAGTTGGTGAAAGCAGCAAGACGATAGCGAGTACAGTTCATGTTGGATTTTAAAACACTAAGATTAGTGTGGTAAAGTATAATAACAAAATCAATTTTGGTTTGTGGATGAGCGACGTGCATGATGCTCTCAATGCTCAAAATTTGGAAGATACCATCATGGTCCATGAGAGACCACCGAAATATGATGAGGCGATATGAGACAAGATGAATAGGAACGCTTGTGGGGTGATCAGGTCTTGTTTGGATCAAGAGCTGAAATACGATGTGATTGGGTAGGTCTGCAATGATGTGTGAGATTCTTAACAACAAGTAGCTTACGAAGAGTGTTGAGAATCAGTTGCACTTGCTGCGAAAATTATTCAGATTCCAGATGTCCAGGGACACCTCACTTGCGGCTCATGTGAACAACTATATAAAGTTATTGTCAGACTTGGTGAACGTAGATGAGAAGATAACAGACGAGTACAAAGCAATTATCTTGTTAGGCTCCTTACCCGATGTGGAGTATAATACATTCGTACTCACTTTGTTGAACGGAAGATCTTCTATCACCTACAATGAAGTGACTAACGCATTGACGAACTATGATTTGAGGAAGGAGGACAAAGAGACTTCCTGTGCTAGCACTTCAGGAGAGGCCCTGTCGACGAGAGGTAGAAGTCCATATCCGAGAGGTGGTAATAGGAATAGGTCAAAGTCAATGGGCCACCACTAGTTAACGAAGAACCTGTGTGCGTTCTGCAAGGAATAAGGATATTGGAAGAGAGATTGTCCGAAGCTCAAGGAGAAGGGAATAACAAGAAGAAGGGCCCGAAGGCCAATGAGGTGAACGCCATGAGAGGTGATGATTCTGATGATTCGTGCTTTTCTCTATTTATTACTCCAGATGTGAACCATATGGATGCATCTGATTGGATGCTTGATTCTGGTGCTACTCATCACGTGACTCCCCGACAAGATTGGTTTGCATTGTTCGAGAAACTCGATGAGGGCGTGGTAGTTATAGAAAATGATCAATCCTGTGGTATTTATGGGATAGGTACCGTCAGGATTCGGATGCATGATGGAGTAGTTCATGAATTGAATGAAGTGAACTTTGTTCCTCAGTTAAAGAAAAATCTTATTTTAGTTGGAGTTTTGGAGGCGAAGGGCTTCAAGGTGACATTTGAGAACGCTGTAGCGAAGGTTACTAAGGGATATTTGGTGGTGATGAAGGGAGTCCGCAGTAAGAATTTATATTATCTGAAGGGAAGCACCGAGATTGGCCAGGTAGCTTCAGTTATTTTAGAGGCGGACACGAGCAGACTTTGATACTATAGGTTGGGGCACACATGTGAAAAATCACTGCAAGCTTTGTGCAAGTAGGGACTATTATAGGGAGCCAATAGTAGAAAGATAGAATTTTGTGAGCACTGCGTTCTTAGCAAGAAGACGAATGCGAAGTTCGGGACAACCATCTATAGGACGAGGGACATCTTGGACTATGTGCACACATATATTTGGGGTCCCACTAAGACGGCATCACTTGGTGATCGATATTGGTTCGTCACGTTTGTAGATACTTCTTGGCGTTATTGGGTGTACACCATGACGAAGAAGAGTAAAGTCTTAGAGATATTTGTGGAGTGGAAGAAGAGATTGGAACTGCAGACTGGGAGAAAGATCAAGACGTTACGATCCGACAACGACGGTGAGTATACTTCTGATCCCTTTCAGCAGCTATGTCAAGACGAAGGCATAGAGAGACACTTCACAGTTAGTCACACACCGTAGCAGAATAAGGTGGCAGAAAGGTTGAATGAGTTTTTGTCGGAGAAGGTCCAATATTTATTATCGCAGAGTGGTTTGGAGAAGATCTTTTGGGCTGAAGCATTTTCTTATATGAGCCACCTCATTAATAGACTGCATTCATCTATAATTGAGGGGAAAACCCTTATGGAGATGTGGTCGGGAGAGCCAGCACACGACTATGATCAGCTCAAGGTATTTAGGTGTTCTGTATTTTATCACGTTAGAACAAATAAATTAGAACCTCAAGCTAGGAAGACCATATTTGTGGGATTTAAGCGTGGTGCCAAGGGATATAAGATTTGTGATCCAGTTGATAAGAAGATAGTGCCGAGTAGATACATCACATTCGATGAGAGCTGAGAAGACTTCTATCTTGAAGCTTCTCAGCTCTCATCAGGTGGAGAGCGACCCGACACTGGAGACATCGTAGATGGTGGAGATTGATATAGCTCCATATTATCCAGATGGGACTGTATACATTAGAGTGCTGACTGGGTGATGCCAGGTGAGCACGGTGATGATTTGGAGGATACAAGTACAGTTGAGTAGGATCAGTGACCGACGGCTCAGGTTCAGGATTCTATTGCAGTTCGGAGACAGAGGAGAAACATACAAATGCTAGCTAGGTATACAGACACAGTTGTTACGTATGTACTTCTAGTGGAGAGTGTCGATGAGATGGTTACTACTACATTCAGAGAGGCTGAGTAGAGTTTGGAGGTTGATCTGTGGCAGGTGGCTATGGAAGAGTAGATGGAGTCTTTTCATAGGAATGACACATGAAAGCTTGTCGAGCTTCCAAAAGGACGAAAGATAATTGGTTGAAAATGAGTGTATACGAAGAAGGAGGGCATTGAAGCCACTCCCCGTGAGGTTCAAAGTTAGGTTGGTTGTGAATGACTATGTGCAGGAGGAAGGTATTGATTATAATAAGGTTTTTTCTCCGGTGGTGAAGCATTCTTCGATTCAGATTTTGCTAGCTTTGGTGGTATAGTATGATTTAGGGTTAGATCAGTTGGATGTAAAAACAACATTTCTTCATGGTGATCTTGATGAAGAAATCTATATGACTCAGCCATTAGGATTCTGAGCTGCAGGGAAGGATAAATTGGTTTGTAGATTGAAGAAATCGCTATACGGTTTGAAGCAATCTCCTCGACGGTGGTATAAACGATTCGATGAGTTCATGATCAGTCATTCGTACATTAGGAGCCGGTTTGATCCTTACATGTACTATCGCAAGTTGAATGGAGGTGCGTACATTTATTTATTATTTTATGTCGATGACATGTTAGTTGTTTCTACTTCGAGATTCGCGATAGATAAACTGAAGATTCAACTTTCGATCGAGTTCGAGATGAATGATTTAGGTGAAGCTAAGCGCATTTTGGGGATGAAGATCGACAAAGACAGAGACAAGGGCAGAATTTGTTTGACACATGTGGTTTATTTGAAGAATGTTCTACAGCGGTTCAATGTGAGCATGGAAATAAAGCCAGTTAGTGTATCATTGGGAGCCCATTTGAAGCTTTATGCTGACCTTTCACCAAAGACAATTGAAGATCGAGAGTTGATGTCAAAGACTCCATATGCGAGCGTAGTGGGAAGTTTGATGTACGCCATGGATTGTACGAGGCCGGATTTATGACATGCAGTGAGCATGGTTTCTAGATATACGCACGACCCAGGTCCGGGTCATTGAGATGTCGTGAGATGGATTTTGAGGTACATTCGAGATACTCTCAACGTTGGTTTGGTTTTTGAGCGGGACACTAACGGTGGACAGCTATGTATTAGATACGTAGATTCAGATTACGCTGGAGATTTGGATAAAACGCCGGTCTACTACGAAATATGTGTTCACTTTGACCTGTACGCCGGTGTGTTGGAGATGCACCTTGCAGTCTACGGTGTCTTTGTCTACGACGGAGGCAGAGTATATAGGGATTAAGGAGGCTGTTAAGGAGGCTATTTGGCTTCGAGGACTTTTTGGAGGATCTTGGTGTTTCGCATCGATCCGTCACTATTCATTGTGATAGCGAGTGCTATCTATTTGGCGAATAATCAGATTTTTTATACGAGGACGAAGCACATTGACGTTCGTTATCACTTCGTTCGAGATGTTCTTGAAGATGGGGATGTGAAGATTGTGAAAGTCCACACGAAAGATAATCCAGCGGATATGCTCACAAAGGTGGTTCCGAGCAACAAGTTCGATCATTGTAGAAACTTGTTGCAAATTCGTGATTGTTGAGGTCGTTCGCGACCATTTGAATGAACTACAGGCGGCTTGATTCCTTAGGAGAGGGGGTACGTAGGCAACCACATTGGTGCAGCCGAATTTGGTGATACGACGTAGTGGTGCTCATGTTTGGTGTCGGCTCAGTTTTGTGAAAACTTCACCGAGGTGGAGAATTGAAAAAGCGGCGAAGAAGAACATGAAATTTAAAGCGCACAGGATTGGCTACGGGTCGGTCGACTGACGGCATAGGCCCGATCGACCGACAGACGACAGACTCTGGAAATACAGGGTCAACAACCTTGTCTCTGGTCGGTCGACCGAACGCTTATGGCCGGTCAATCGAAAAAGTGCACAATTACAGGGCTGATTTTCAGCTCTCTGGCCGGTCGATTGCACGCTTGTGCCCGGTCGACCGCGATGCGGTTATGGGCCCAGTTCGATTTTCCCAGCTGGTTTTGGTTTGTGTTTTGATATAAATTGAAACACAACTTTAGGGTTTCTTAATCAGAGAAAGGAGAAACTTTTGAGCACTTTGAGAGGGAGATATTGTGAGGGAGTTGAGAGATTTGGTTAGGGTTATATTTGAGTGATTTTGTTAGTTGTAACCCGTTGTATTTCTCTTCCATATAGTGAAATCTCCTCATCCTCTCCCCGTGGACGTAGGCAATGTAAATCTCTGTATTTGGTTTGATCTGTGTCGTATTTGGTGGATTGCGCTCGTGATTTGATTTGGTTTTCTTCTCTCGTGTCTTATCGACTCATTTGGTGTGCGAGCACGCTTCCTCAACGCGCGCAACATGTTACACCGAAACTTAATAGCAAAACCATGAAAATATTTTATGTACAGTAACGAATTTTTACATGCCCGCTATATACACAAAACAGTTGTCAGGATTATCCCCACGCGTATCCCCGTCGCCAGAAACAAAACCAAATAAACTGAACTTGCAACTCCCGACACTCTAAACCCAAATGTCGTAGCTCTAATCACAAGACCAACACGTTGTCAATGTCAACCCTCTCTCACTTGGAACATTCAATTTTCGAACCTCAAAAATGTATGACCCCTAAATTAATAAGCAGAGGCACAAGCGCCACAATGATAATTACAATCACAAGCAGCACGGCCAAACACGCCCACTTCCTCGAGCTCTTCTGATACTCCCTGGCCGTCTCCAGCTCCACCGTCCCCTTCCTCACAAACGAGCTCGCGTGCGCCACGTGACTCTCGATATCGTTCAACTGGTGTCCCTGAGCCTCGACCAGCGCCGCCATGTCCAAGAAAACCTGATGCAGGTCCATCAAGCTCTTCTCTATCTCCTTCACTGCGTCGTGCCGTTCTTGAATCTCCATTATCGTGTCCATCACCTGTCCGCGACCTTGCTCCTCGATTGCTTTTTGTAAGAAGTTCTCGCTCTCACCGGAGGATATCATGGCCTCAACTGTATCGTCATCGGGTTGCTTTCCGGTTACCGTGAAATACCGTCTTCCTGCAGTAAACAAGTAGTTTTAGGTATTATAAACGAAAGGAATATAACAAGGTGTATATTCGATTCGTTTGATTATCAAATATTTGTTTAGATTTCATTTCTTATAATTCATATCATTAGATGTGTAAATGTGTAATGTTATGTTTTTAACCCATTTACAGTTTGTAATTTAAGTTTTACACTACTTTTGACAGACTTAAAGAGCCCATCTCGGTTTTCAAACCAAGAATTCAGTGGGCGATGTGTTCGAATTCGATTCGTTAGAAGCCCTACCTACAGTCTCTTTGTATTCCGCCGCCATTTTGGCTCTCAAGCTCTGAAACGCATCCATCAAATCTTTCAGCTTTTTACCAAGACCACCTACCACAGATGTACGAGTTCGATCCGCCGAGCTCCCCGGCCCACACCCAGGAATTTTCCGGTTCGCCGCGTTCGACTTATCAAGAGCTTCAAGCTTTCCTTTCACAACTTTTGCCTTTCGTAGTACTTGCTCCACATCACGGTCCATCCGCGATCTGAGGTCTTTCACAGTGTTGGCGTTGTGCGCGAGTTTCGTCTCCTCGTTGAGGTCTTGGAGGTGCTTGTGGAGCTGTTCGAGAGACTTGAGGTCCTCTTTCACGTTCTCGACGTCCTCGAAGAATTTCTCGAGGTTGACGGTCTCGTGGGCGGGGCCCGCAGTGGAGGTGCCGGTCTCCATCTCGTCGAGGCGGACCTGCTCTTTGAGGTCCGTGTAGCGCTTGAAGGAGGCCGTTGAGAAAAGGTCGTTCATGTTTGATCAGGATTATTGATTGACTAGAGAATTTATTTGGTTATAAGAGCCTCACTGCCATTTAACAATGGGAGGGAGGGGGGAAATATTGGATACAATGTGGGTATGTTGAGGATGGGATTATTGAATTTCCAAAATTTTGAGTAGAGATTGAGAAATGAAAGAGGTGAGGAGAAGAGAAGATCTTTGTGTTGGTAAAAGAATTGAAGGGTGAGGACAAAATTTGGCGGGAAGGAATTGCCATTTGGAGAGCGGTTGACATTTGGCTTAGGTGCCTACAAATGTTGGGGTCCACAAATCTGAGGGAGCAAAGTGTCGACTAGGTCCATAAATTATGGAATGTTTGGGCGTGTTTTAAAAGGAAGTCAATAAATTTAGCTACTAATTGCGCATTTGTACAATTTATGGAGGTCCAGGGGAGTTAGTTTAGTTTTCGGTAGATAGGTAAAATAAGATGTTGATATTTATCATTAAAAAGTGTTAATGTTGTCTAAAATACTCAAATCAATATTGCTTTGGGAGTTCCTTTTCAGGTTGGTTTGTTTTGATCAAAAGTCCTACTTGTATTAGACATTGTTGCACAACCAATCATATTAGAGGTTTATTTCTATTTGGACTCTTGTTGGGTTTTAGGACATGTGGACTTCTATTCCTATTAGAACTCTTATTCCTTAGACAACAAGGAGTTGAGATCTTCAAAGTTATATAAGAACAGCATTTCAAGCCAATAATTAATTATTAATCTTTAGAGCACCGATCAAGAAGAGAGAGCTCTTTTTTGAAGCCTATTTGGTATTCTTCTCTCTTATTCCTTTAGTTGAGAGTTGTATTAGGCTATTGGGGTGTGATTTAGGATTGGGAGGTTGAGAGATTCCACTTTGTATTCCTCACAATTAATAAAACTTTTCTCCTCATTCACCCGTGGACGTAGGCTACAAGCCGAACCACGTATATCTTTGTGTCCGTGTGTTTCTTGATATTTTTCGCGCTCTCATGTGATTGATATTAGCTTATTCTAGGGAATTTGTCATAACAAATTGGTATCAGAGCCATCAGTTATCGATAAGACGAGAAAATGACAACAACAACTACGAAGTGGAATATCGAGAAGTTTGACGGCACCATCAGTTTTAGCCTTTGACAAGTTAAGATGATCGTCGTGTTGACACAGAGTGGATTGAAGAAGACTTTGTTCGGAAAGTTGAAGAAACTGACTACTATGACTGAGGAAGATTAGAACAAGTTGGATGTTAGAGCTCTCATATGTTTGACAAACGAAGTTTTACAAGAAGTTCTCACGGAGAAGTCACCCGCTGATTTGTGGTCTAAATTGGAGTATTTGTATTTGATGAAATCACTCACTAATCGCCTCCTCTTGAAGCAGCGTTGGTACACACTTTGGATGTCGGAAGGAACACCCATCAAATCTTATATTGGTGAATTTAATTATGTGATTACAGATTTGAGTAAGATTGATATTAAGATCGATGATGAAGATCAAGCCCTATTATTATTGTGTTCTTTGCCGCCTTTCTACAAGCACATCAGGGATACTATGATTTGTGGTTGAGATTCTATTGGTATCAAGGATGTCAAAGAGAACTTATTGAATAAGGAGAAGATCGACAAAAAGTTAACCACAAGTGAAAGTGACGATAAAGCTGATGGCTTATTTGTTCGAGGAAGATCGGAAAAGCACATGAATCTAACCTACACATATTTCTAGAAGAAAGGGCACATCAAGACCAATTGTTACAGATTGAAGGACAAAAATAAACAAGAAGAGTATGAAGAAAAATCAAAGGAGGACTCCGCTGAAGTTGATATTGCTGAAGATGTGATTTTGTTGGCTACAGATGATATAAACAACAAAGGAGGACTCCGCTGAAGTTGATATTGCTGAAGATGTGATTTTGTTGGCTACAGATGATATAAACAAGAGCACGGATGATTGGATTTTGGATTCGGGTTATTCCTATCATATGTGTCCTAATCGGGTCTGGTTCACCACTTATGAAGCTATTGATGGTGCAATTGTTCTTATGGGGAACAACGCCTCATGCAAGACTGTTGGGAAAGACACAATTTGGATTAAGATGCATGATAAAGTCATCAGGACTTTGACATATGTTAGGCATGTTACAGGTTTAAGGAAGAATCTCATCTCTTTGGACACTCTTGATAGTATATATTGGGTGACATTTTTCAGGTGAAGGTGGAGTTCTTAGGGTTACAAAAGGCTCTCTTGTGGTTATGAAAAGAAAGAAGATCGACAGGTTGTATGTTTTGCAGGGTTCTACCATTACCGGCTCGGCTGCAGTTGCATCGTCGATGTCAGGAGTTGATACTACCAGATTATGGTATATGAGACTTGGTTGTATGAGTGAGCACGGATTGACCGAGTTGAGTAAGAAGGATCTTTTATGTGGATAGAGTACAGGAAAATTAGGATTATGTGAGCATTGCATCTTTTTGGGTAACAGAAAAGAGTCAGCTTCAGTATGACAGTGCATCAGACTAAATGTACTTTGGATTATATCCATTCAGATCTTTGTGGATCTTCTCAAGTTGCCTTGAGGGGTGGTAGTTCCAGATATTTGTTGACCTTCATTGATGACTACTCCAGGAAGGTTTGAGTCTATTTTTTGAGATATAAATATGAGGTGTTTGTGACTTTCAAATAGTGGAAGTCTTTAATTGAGAAGTAGACTAGGAGGCTAATTAAGAGGCTTAGAATTAATGTAAAACTAGAGGGGTGGTAGTTATTTGATTTGGTGGTGATGGGTTTTGATTGGAGTGGATGATGTAGGTGATTTTGGATGAGGACACGAAGGCGATGTGGGAATTTTGGTGCCTTGTTATATCCTGATGGCTTGGTATTATTTCTGTTGAGGGTCTAACTAGAGGGATGAATAGATATGACGAGATGGATAGCATGCTTGGTAAATGAAAAGTAATTTATACAAAATATAAAAGTTAAAAATTAATGTAAAACTTTTTCTTTATTTTGGTCGTAATATAATCACAGACTCATGTTAGAAACTGAATGACCAAATTTTATTTATTTTCTTTGTAATATAGTCATCAGTCTCAAGTTAGATTTCATATTTGAAGGATGTATTACAAGCAACGATTTAAGTGCATATGTCTTAAATGTAACAATTTGAGTATAAAAGTAACACTAGTGTGCGCTGTATGCGAAGCACGCTTTTCTTTTTTTTTTATCGCTACAGTAATCTCGTTTTTAATTGCTACAGTATTTTTAAATGCTACAACAATATTTTTCTAATGCTATAGTAATATTTTTAAAAAAATGCTACAGTATCCCTCCTTTGCTACAGTAATATATTTAAAAAAAATTTTAAAATAATGCTACAGTATCCCGCCTATGCTACATCGCTTTTTTAATAATGCTACAGTATCCCGCCTATGCCACAATTGTGTTGCTTTGAAAACACTGTAGTATTTTTTTCAAAAAATGCTACAGTAATAATGTTATAGTGAATTACTGCATCATTTATTGTAACATGAATAGTGATTCTTAGGTCTTCCTATTATTATAGAGGAATAGATATATTTTTTCAGTGATATTTTATCTATCAACTATGCTACATAATTATTTTCTGCGACGCTTACTTATATCCTACGACACTTATTGTTGTGCTATAGAAATAAACAAGTGTTAATTTCATAACAAAAACTAACAAATGAGTCAAGTAGACTACACACCAACCTAACCTACACACTGTAAATTCTCATCTCCCTCGATAACCGAGATGAAAGGCATCACTTCTTGTCTCCCTCGAAAGCCAAGACGAAAGGAGTCGCTTCTAATCTCCCTCGAAGGCCGAGACGAAAGATGTCACTTCTTGTCTCCCTTGATGGCCGAGACAAGAGAGGGTCTTTCTCGCCACCCTCAAAGGCTGAGACGAAATATAGTGTTCCTTGCACTTATTAAATGATAACCAGTCATTGTAACATTAAATACGTCGATGGAGTCATCATTACTCCACCATTGAAGCCTTAATGACCAATCGGACCGCATCAGTACCTTAAGCTCTCTGTCACCACTACATTAATCACAATGTGACTCAGTCTCTCTGATATCAACAACTATAAAAGTATTAGTTGGCTAAGCTGATTGTTGTTAGGTCTCGTGTTTTGATGATGATTTACAAACCCCATTATCGGTGCTAATTGTTTGTCAAGTGATATTGTGTAGGTTGTATTTTATCAAGCAATATAGTGTCATGATAGGATGATGGATGGATTTAAGCTTTAATGATCATATTCATGGAGGTGGATGCAAGTTGATGAAGAAGAGCTTTCAAGTATAATATATATAAGAAGAGCTTCATCAACAAATTAGCAAATATTGAGTCTCAAGATTTGTATACATTTGTGAATAGTATTTGCATTTTTATTTTCGTTCTAGATCATAATGTAGGCAAAAAAGTAAAGTAGATTACTTTTGAAGCATTTGGGGATCAAATACACACACTTCTAAAATCGTATTTTTGACCGTTTCGCAAAATGATAAGTTTTTTACAATTGGGAAATGATATTTAAGAAATGAACAAATTTTCAAAATAGGCCGATTTAGTTTTTTATTTTTCAAAATCGACCGTTTTTTTTATTTATCAAAATCGACCGTTTTTTTTTATTTATCAAAATCGACCCGGTTTTGTGATTAGCAGGCTAATCACTATCCTAAATAGTCGGGGTTGCCAACTCCGACTAATTAGGACATTAATTTTTAGGGTTTAAGTCCTTTAATTAGGGTTTAACACCCTCCTAAATAGTCGGGGTTGGCAACCCCGACTATTTAGGATAGTGATTAACCTGCTAATCACAAAACCGGGTCGATTTTGATAAATAAATAAAAAACAGTCGATTTTGAAAAATAAAAAGCTAAATCGGCCTGTTTTGAAAAATTATTCTTAAGAAATTCTTTTTCTAACATGTTTATTTTTATCAAAATAATTATTTTCCCAAGTTTTATAATTTTTAGAATTTATTTAATATTTTTAAAACGCCTTTGAAAATTAGATTTTCTGTTCAAAACTGGGTTGTGCACATTTTTCGGTCGACCGACACTGTTCATCAGTCGACCGAAGAACTGCTCTGCAATTGTTGAAAAGTTTTTGCT